CAAGCCTCTGTTTGTAAGTTGAAGTTAAGGGGTGGATTCTGGGAGGAGGGGAAGACTGCAGTACAGATCAGAGACTTAGGGAGATGGGACCAGTTTCTCACTCAAAGAGCTTGCCTGTTGTTTAGTTCTATTGTATAGCGTTCTTCTATCTCTCCCTTTGTCAGCTGGATTCAAGAGACAAGCTGGGAATTGTGCAGGATACAATTGGTCTCTTTCTCCCATTCCTCTGTATGAAAGCCCTTCCTCTCCTCCCTTTGATGAGTTCCCAGATTCACACTGGATTTTCATCATAGAGCCAGTCCTTGAGGTGTGCCCAGGGCATGGGAAAGGAGGGAGGGTGTTGAAACACTTGGTTCCTCCCTAAAGAGACTGAATCAGGATCAGGACAATCAGTGGGATGGGCCTTAATCTGAGAGTCACAATAGTCCTGTTGATCTCTGACAGAGAACATTGATGAGAAGGGAGGTTTTATTACAGATTGATCATGCTTGCTTGGGGGAATTTGAAGATAAATATAACCAATTCTGAACTAATGTCTTCTGAACTAATAGTTTCCCTACAGGACTAGGTTACATCCATTTTAACACTAGATAATAGGTAACTTTGGTTTTGAATTTAAGAAATAAATGTGTTCTCCCAAACAAGATTGGAAGTTTTCTGAGGAAAAGGAATTGGGCTCTTATTTTCTTTCTATTTCTTGAAGCATCTATGTGTTTAATGTTAGTGTCCTCAAGCCACTGAAACACAAAGGAAAAGAAAGCGTCGTTAATTTTCTCTGTGACCACTCATCAAAATGAGACATTGAAATCTCATTGAGTAACAGTTGTATTGTGTAATTCTTTTATACTGACTCCACCAATTCACAATTTATACTTAGCTGGGAAATGACAGAATGCCTTTTAACATTCAAAACCCTGTTGACCCTGAGGTATTCTGAAACAGAGAACTTATGGTTTTAGGCTGTTGTTCCCATGTTCCCAAATTTATTTCTTGGATTGTGAAAAATCAACGTGAACCCAATGGACTTTTATTCAGAATGCTTTAACTGTCAACTACTATGATGAAAAGACAATCTCTTATATGTTCTGAGTTTTCCCCTGTTGGAATTCAAATTTTGACTTTTACTTGGGCAGATTAGCTGAGATTCTTTACTTCCGCTGAACTTAAATACCCTTAGAACAAACATTTCATCTGAACTTTGAGGAATTTAACATCTGATGCTTGTTTTGATATTGTTGAAATATTTTATAACCTAACAACAGTAGAGTTATCTCAGGGCACTTGTGTGGATTCCACATTAGAGAGAGACTCACTCAAGTCTGTGGCTTTGCTTCTTGCTGTGAACAGCAGTAGAGCAGAAGTTATTATCTGAGGTCTAAGAAAACAGAGAAAATTATCTGTAAAAAATAAAGTATCAGGTGGTGATTTAGAGTTGCTCCCAAAGTTTCGTCACCCAGTAAAAACACTGAATGTGACATTTTCTGGTTATTTTGATGACCACCAAATGATCATATGTCCAGGATGATAAATCATTCTTTGTTTTATCACTTGGTGATAAGAGGGAAAAAAATCATCATTAGTACAGATGATGTAGAGGGGCATCAGCTAAAGCATTGAGCAGGTTTCTCTGTTTGGCTGGCAAGAGCTCAAGTTCCCAGTCAGACCTGCCTCACCATTAGACCATCCATGGTGAAAATGCTGGGGTCAGTCAATGGGGACAGGATGACCACTTGCCAGGGTGGATGGCTCTCTTTACCCTGGGCTAAATAAATAGTCCTACCATTGTTTACTGGATCTGACCCCCTCCCCACCCCCGAGCCTGCAGGGCCTTGCAGAATACCAAGGAGGCTCCTGAGATCTCAGGAGAAAACAAGGCTTCTTTGTCTGGGCAAGTTATGGAGGGCTGTGTCCAAGGCCTGACCCTTTGAGGGAGAGAGAGGGAACAGTGGGGTCACTGACCTCCCCTCCCCCACCTCAGACTTCAGAGACCTTCTTTACTAGAAGAGTCTGAGTGGCTGAGGGTGGAGAGGAGTTAAAAGGGCAGAGAATGAAAATGGTGGTGCTGTTTACTTCCAAGTACCTTTTCTTGACTTACTGGATACATGTTTTGTAACCTAATGATGTCTCTCCAAGACAGTGATCTGTTTCAGCTGGTTCACTTTTCTTTGGTGTACACATACATGTATTGTACACATCTGTGCAAGTGTGCACATGCACACACATCATAGTCCAGTAGTGAATATCCTCTCTTGCAAAGTTCACATGGAACTCTCAGCCTCGACTCATAGCAGCACAGCTACAGACCAATGGCTAGCCTCTTGTGGAGTGCTTCAGTTTGGGGAAAATGAAAGGGACCCAGCTCAGCTACAAATGTTTGCTACATTCCTTGGCTTGAGCTTCTGAGCCTCATCTCTAATGTAATGTACAAGGATCTCAAAGGAGACACTCTTTGAAGGGCGGGAAAGGTTGTCCTGTCAGTGAAGGGTGGGTAATAGGGCTCACTTATTCTATGGTTCTCATAAAAGACACAAATGCCTCTGTCCCAACTCTTCCATGATAGGCATTAATTGATCTTTCAATATCTGTTGAAATTGTCCAACTTAGCTGTGGAAACCACAACATTTTTTATTTGCCTCTTGCATTTATTATTATTATTGGTGCCTTTTTAAAGTTTCTAAGCACTCTTTATCAAATAAAGAAATGAATAAGAAAGATATGAATCTACAGAACTCTACAAATTATTAGAAAGTAGGAGAAAAATACAGTTAAGTATATGATTACTAGAATCTGTGATGTACTCTACAACTCTTGTTTTACATGATAAAGAATTGACAAATCTTGTAAAAAAAATACTGAGGAATATTAACCACTTAATAATAAGTAAGTAAATCTATAACATTTTGTTAAGCACAACTTCCTCAACCAATTTTACCTAGGTATGTTATTGTAATACTTACAGAAACTTAACTCTATGTTGGGATCTCCACTAGATTGACACCAAGAAACAAAGCATGCCTCATAAATTCCCTTTGTTTGCAGATTCTGGAAGTTTTCACATTAGAATACTATTGTCTAGTAGACAATTTAAGGAACAATCTATAGCTGAAATCACAACATTTTTAAGAAATGTTTTAATAAAAACTGAGCTCATATTAAAGAGATCAGTCAATGAATTTCTATTTCTTCTGGTACCCTGGTATAGATAGTTGAACTTGGCCTGGAGAAATACATGAATATAAAAGTTCAAACTTTAGAAAATTATTTTCATTCTATAAGGAGATAAGGTGTTACAACATACTTACCACAAGCCATGTCCTGATTATCTGTATATACATTTCTATAATAATAGATGTCTAAAAATCAACTGATCTATATATGTATGTATGTATATGCACAAATTACTAAATATATGTATCCTTATAGTTTATATATTATATATATGTGCATATATTAAATATAGACTTGTCTACATACACTATCTGATTATCAATATATGCATATACATTCTATTTAAAGATCTTAACATTTTCATTTTTCCACCTTTTGCAGATCTGGTCAAGAGGCCAGAGGGAACTGCATGTTTATCTGTCTAGTCAGTCATTTGCTTGGCATTTTATCAGTTTCATTTCACATAACACCAGAACTTGGGCCACAGCTGCTTCCAGAGTCTGTGACTACTTTATGTACCTTTCTTGTCTCTCAGCAACACAGGCCCAGGGCTGAGAGGTACCTGGTCTGGGGATCTCAGCTATTCTTAGCACTCTAAGACACCTGTGTTCCCAGGTCTTGCTTGTTCCCATGGCCCACATCCCATGCTAGAAAGCTACTGTCGCCATTACAGAAAGTCTCTTTGAGGCTGCCCCAACCACAATCTCAGTGTAATTTCAAGAGTACAGAAACTGGGCAAGCTGCAGTGGTGTGGAGAAAACATGCAAAGCATGGGAAAATCATCAAGCCTGCATTAAAGTAGAGTTGTGTAGAATAGGGCATCAAATACTCTGAAGCTGAAGCTAGTACAGGTGGTTGTGAGCTGCCTGACATAGATTCTGAAGAAGAGCAGCAAGCCATCTGTCCAGCCCCAAGTCCACATCTGTATTCATGACGATGATGATGGTGGTGGTGTGCAAAAGAAACCTTCCTTTTCCTATGCCAGTTCCTGTCTTCCCTATGTTACTCCTTCTATGTAGACTAAGAAGGATTTGGCACTTCTTGCAACAAATATACCTCACGTGTGAGACTATCCAGAAACATGCAATTTCTATCATACCTTACACCTGAAGTGCTCTTTCAGTTCAAACTGTGTCTGAAAATACTAACGTCTATGGTTACCACTCTTTCTTCTGAAATCCTACATGTATGTGCTCTCTGCAGCCATTTACTTGCTTTCCTGGAATTGTTGGTGGAAAATATTCCACCCACTGAATTCATCCTTCCTCAGTAAACTGAAGACTCCAATCTTGCAGAGTTTGTACTTTTCTGTTTTCATATCCCATGTACAGTGCCGGGCATGTTTATTCATGGTTGACGAATAATTAAAATAAATCAACAAACTACAAAATTAAGAAAAGGAGGGCTAATCTTATCACTTCCCTGGATTGCCACTTGAATTATTTGATTCCTTTTAAAAACCCGTATATTCTGTATATTGAAGATGAGTATTCATTTTTAAGAATGGGATAAAGTAATGATTGTGGGTCAATCTCACATTCCAAAAGCTAACACCTGTAGATTATCCTTTAGAACTCCCAAGATAACCACTCTCTGTGCTTGGCAGCATGGGCTGCTTGGCCCAACAGTGGATATGAGTGGATCAGTTACCTATTCTGCATACCTGACTCCCCATTCCTCTTCCCTAGGCTTGTTAGAGTGCTGTGCAAGATGTCTGGTAGGGGCCCCCTTTGCTTCCCTGGTGGCCACTGGATTGTGTTTCTTTGGAGTGGCACTGTTCTGTGGATGTGGACATGAAGCTCTCACTGGTACAGAGAAGCTAATTGAGACCTATTTCTCCAAAAACTACCAGGACTATGAGTATCTCATTAATGTGTAAGTACCTCCCCTCTCCCACACCCATGTCTTCCCCCCCCTTCACCCTATCTTGGGGGTACAAAAGTCATCAGCATCTTTATTAGTAGGGGACCAGTGTGGAATCACCTAGAATTCCTGACCATCCTTCTGTGTGTACAGATTTTCCCATGCCATGTTGGAAGCGCTAAGTGAGGGACAATGTCAGGTTCAGAAAAGAGGTCTGCCTCCTCTCATTGATCCCTGTTTGCTCACACAGGGTCCGGTTTCTATTAGGTATGTTCAGTGTTCCTGGAATTGTCTCCACAATGGCAGGTGGAGATTTTATTTCTGGGGAGGGTGGAGTTCCTGGTCTTGGTCTGACACACTGTTTTTGTGTACTCAGCCGTAGTAATAAGTCTCCCCTACTCCTAGAACAAGTTGGGCTACTGTGCTTCATGCATCTCCAGGTTTGTCTAACATATTTCTCCTATGGAGTAGCACTTCTGAAGGATCAGGCTGGGGGGGGGGGAGCTTAGTTCTCGAGGATGCAGGATTACAAGGAATAGGGAGAGAAGAGAAGCACATGCCTTTGCCCACCTACTACTGCCTGGTTTCATTTACTTCAGTGAAGAAAAGGCGAAGGAACACAGGAGAAACCTAGTGTTTCCTCTCAAGAACCTCTAGCTACTTAGGCATATACTTTACTAGCTGACAGAACTGTGTCCTCTGAACTAGATTGTCTGGACTTTTCTGTCAATGCAGGATTCATGCTTTCCAGTATGTCATCTATGGAACTGCCTCTTTCTTCTTCCTTTATGGGGCCCTCCTGCTGGCCGAGGGCTTCTACACCACCGGCGCAGTCAGGCAGATCTTTGGCGACTACAAGACCACCATCTGCGGCAAGGGCCTGAGCGCAACGGTAACAGGGGGCCAGAAGGGGAGGGGTTCCAGAGGCCAACATCAAGCTCATTCTTTGGAGCGGGTGTGTCATTGTTTGGGAAAATGGCTAGGACATCCCGACAAGGTGATCATCCTCAGGATTTTGTGGCAATAACAAGGGGTGGGAAACAATTGGGCATGAGTCTGTGGCCTCATCCCCACCCAAGGTTGGGTCCTCTCCAGAGGCCTGGCTTTTGAGTGAGGAAGCGATGGCTACAGCTGAACACTGAGGTCAGGAAGAACGTGGTGCCTGGCCGGCTTAGCCTCATCTTTCAAAGGTTCCCTAGAAAATTTCATCTCAAACTGAAAAGCATGAATTTTGTAGGATGCTTTGTACAATAAGACCATTTCTAACCAATCTGTTGGTATCCCTTTATTTTGTTCCTAGCAGGGACTACAAGAGTGGACCAGACTATACAAGAATCTAAAATACTAGTCATGGGATTAAGACTTAGACATGTAACCTGAAATGGAGGGTGGAACATAGAAATTAAAGAATTGACTCCAAGTGACAGTATTCTGGGATCCTACACTATTGGGGGTCCTAGAGAGAATTAGGCTAGATCTGCATATGTCCCATTTGTCTTTGGACTAGCCATGTTTTAGAAAGACATACATTCGTCTTATTTTCTAGAGTTAAAGATCTTTTGGGGTCTTGAACATGTGTGTGTTGTGATGACTTTTCATAACCAGCAGTTAGCTTAGAATGGTTTTAGATCTGAAATTTAAATCTCCTATTGGCATTGTTCAATGACTAGGGAACAAAACTCCTGTGGCAAAGAACATTTTGTAAGCTCAGCCTAAGGCACAAAATGGCACAACTTTCTTTCAGGACTTTTTTTATTTTTACTTCTTTACACCTCTGCCCTCCAAATCCCCTGAAGCCCCTCTAACCCAGGGATCCGCCTCACTCCAACTCCCACCCATTCCCCCTACCCTCCATCACACTTGGGGCCAGTTCTCTAAGAGACACTGCCAATGACACTTCACAGAACTGCCCTGCTAACTAATTTCATTTGAGGGAGATACCTGGAATTTGACTTTACTGGCGCATGCCACTCCAGGATCTTCCAGTTTGTTTCAAGGCCTGTACGTTGATGCTGATTTTTAACCACCCCATGTCAATTGTTTTAGTTTGTGGGCATCACCTATGCCCTGACTGTTGTATGGCTCCTGGTGTTTGCCTGCTCTGCTGTGCCTGTGTACATTTACTTCAATACCTGGACCACCTGTCAGTCTATTGCCTTCCCTAGCAAGACCTCTGCCAGTATAGGCACTCTCTGCGCTGATGCCAGAATGTACGGTGAGTTGGATGTGGAAGCCTTAGATTTCCTAGCATCTATAGAAACAAGATGTACTTTTTTGTTTATTTTTTTGTCTTGGGGTGAGGAGGATGGTGGTTATGGAAATATTGTAAGATTATGAATAAATGCATCTTAGTTTTTTAATCTCTTTCCACTGAAACTGAGGATCCCAAAAGAGAACATGGGAATTGTGAGAGTGTTTATTTGTTGGCTGTTATTACTCCTCTAATTGACTGTTCTTACCAAAGCCCAAAGCAACACATTTCAGTACTATAAGATTTCACCATTATTCAGTACCATCTCTGCTTTTATGTAAAGTTTAGAAAATGGGATCATGCTTATTGTCAACATCAGGTTTACTGCCAAGATAGGGAAGGTAGAAGGGCTCTGGAGCAAGCCTCCACTTGAAGGCTTGTAGAGATTACTCTTGTGGAGTTTACTCTACTTGTGGAGATCACTCTAGTCCTATGACGCTTACTCTGCTTGTGGAGATCACTCAAACACTATGACGTTTACTCTGCTTTATTTTTGCATCTTAGGTGTTCTCCCATGGAATGCTTTCCCTGGCAAGGTTTGTGGCTCCAACCTTCTGTCCATCTGCAAAACAGCTGAGGTAAGTGAATGATTAGGGTTATTTTGAAATAGATTGGCTAAAAACACAGTATTTCCAGCTTATAACAGAAGTTTCTCCTTGTGACCTTCAATTTCAAGGATGATAGTATCTCCTTGTTGAACTTTTTAAAAAAGATTTTATTTATTTATTATGTATACAGTCTTCTGCCTGCACGCCAGCAGAGGGCACCAGATCTCATTCAAGGTGGTTGTGAGGCACCAAGTGGTTGCCAGGAATTGAACTGAGGACCTCTGGAAGAACAGTCAGTGCTCTTAACCTCTGAGCCATCTCTCCAGCCCCCTCCTTGTTGGACTTTGAATAAGCAGATTTCCCTTCTACAAAATAATGGCTAAGTGTGCCTGAATCAATGAGCATACTGATTAATAGTACAAGCACCTATTTTCCCCAGATTTACATCAAAAGTCTTACTGCTCCAAACTCCCCTTGTTAAAAGAAAAACGTATAGCTTTAGTGAAATTTCCCAAATGAAAATCTTCATTTTGGTTAAAAACTTATTAAGAGAATAGGCCGTGCACAAAGACATACATGGGCTCTATAAAATACTTTAAATTTGGAACTCCCTGATTTCCAAGGAGAGGTGAAATAAGTACAATTGAAGAAAAAGTGTTTCATTGAGAGCAGATATGTGTCATAGAGGCAAGGTATAAAAGCAAATCCTGGGGAGGAAGTGAGAAAAACCACATCTTTGCAAAGTAAGTATTGACTTTAAAATTCGGGATCCTGGGCACAACTGTAGGAAACAGTTAATTATTTGGGATCGTTAATCTCTTTTCTGAGTCTTTGGGATACTGCAGGTGTGAAGTGCTATGATAGACAGTGGCAAATTGGAGGTTGACACTTAGGGAAGTGAAAATTTAGTTAAGAGACACAAAATTAACATACTGGCAAGATAGCAAGCCATCCAGAAAACTGCATTCACTATTTACAGTGGATTGTGCTTTTATTTTCTGTTACAAGAACTAATTCTTTCGCACACATTTTCCTGCAGTTCCAAATGACCTTCCACCTGTTTATTGCTGCATTTGTGGGTGCTGCAGCCACACTAGTTTCCCTGGTAAGTTGTTTTAAAATAACATGAGAAAATAAGTGATGCACGGATAGCTTGAGTGGCATTAGGGTCAGACTAGAAGAGAGACTCCTTCCAACTTGGAAAGGCCAGAGAGAAGTTATGAAAGGGGACAGAAAGATGTGCGACTCCAGATTTCTGCCACGGGTTGTCAAGGCACTGACAAGAGCATGGAATTATCACTAAACTCCATTTGCTTTATCCCAGGATCCTGTATACTACAAACCTCTTAGATAGTCTCCAGTGTATTTAATTACCCTCAGGGAAACTGGCAGGGCCTCCTCACATTAGAATTGTTATAGCTGTGCTGCAGTCCTATGCCTTAGGTCCTGCAGGGAGTGTTAGTACAGTATCAAAGCAGTGTGCTCTTCCTAATACACTAAAGTCAGAGTGGTTTACCTCAAGTCTCTGAGGTAGCTGTTAACTCCAAGGAAGATCTCACAGAATCCTCCTCAGTACCTGGAGGCTTTCACAAAAAGCCACCTCACTTCTACTTTGTAAAATCAGTTGATGCATACGAGATAGGAGGGCTATGCTGCATGATGTAGCTATGTGTCTACAGCAAACACTTTTTGACTGCAAGTCACTTATACATGCTGTCGTGACAGAGCACAGACAGAGCTAATCTCCTAAAGGAAAGGTCAGTGGTTACCAGAACCTAGCTCTGGAATACAATTTTATTGATTAGGTTATCTGGGAATGGGCTGTGGTTTAAGTGTCTAATAGAAGATTTCTATTCATTTATAGAAAAAACATAATGTGCATTTTAGGGGTTTTTTTATTTTGCAGAAGACTATTTCTTTTTATTTAGTTGTGATTTTGTTTCAGCTCACCCTCATTTGTAAAAGGTTTTGAGTAGAGAAACATTCCCTTTCTAACCTCACTTATTTTCTCTCGTCTGTTCCCTACAGCTCACCTTCATGATTGCTGCCACTTACAACTTTGCTGTCCTTAAACTCATGGGCCGAGGCACCAAGTTCTGATCTCCCGTAGAAACGCCCCTTTGTCTAATAGCGAGGCTCTAACCACACAGCCTACAGTGTTGTGTCTCCTATCTTAACTCTGCCTTTGCCACTGATTGGCCCTCTTCTTACTTGATGAGTATAACAAGAAAGGAGAGTCTTGCAGTGATTAATCTCTCTCTGTGGACTCTCCCTCTTATGTACCTCTTTTAGTCATTTTGCTCCACAGATGGCTCCTGCTAGAAGTGGGGAATGCCTGAGGTGGTGATTCTCCAGCTGCAAGTCACAGAGGAATGAAAGCTCTAATTAATTTGGGAGCATCTCCTCAAGTCCAGGATGTACTTCCTTCTCAAAGGGCATTTCCATTGAGAAAAACAAAGTGGAAAGAAAGATCTCAGGGAGAGAGCAGAAATGTCCTTGGTCTCCTTGCCATCAATAGGAGCCAAATGTATTCTCCTTGATGCACAAAACCAAGAACTCACTCATATCTTCATATTTCCACTGAAGACAGAAGCAAATGAAAGAATGCTAGCAAAGCAATAGCATTTGCCCAAATCTGCCTCCTGCGGCTGGGAGACAGGGGTCAAAGCAAGGATCTTTCACCCTTAGAAAGAGAGCTCTGACCCCAAAGGCCATGGGCTTTTGAAGCCCTAACCCAGCCAACCCTACTTACTGCAGAAGGGAGCACAGTGTCTGTGTAAACAAAGGGGGCAAATCTGTCTTTACACCTTATTAGGAAGAGAAACAGTGTTGTCAGGATCTTCTCACTCCCATCTCCTTGATAACAGCTACCATGACAACCCTGTGGTTTCCAAGGAGCTGAGAATAGAAGGAAACTAGCTTTCATGAAATAAGACTGTGGCTTAAGAACAGCAGTTGGTGGAGACTAAAGGTATAACTTAAGATGGCCCTTGGGTAGATGCAAGATAGTTAACTCTTTGGATAGCATATCTTTTTTTTTCTGTCAACTAATTGTGTCCTCTGGTGTATCTTCACAATGGTGCTCTTTTCCTGGGGTTTTATCCATTCACTCATAGCAGGTGATTTGAAGATCTTGATTAGTTTGATAATGGTCCATGCTTCACATTTTCCAATTGTTCATCTCTTATTTGGATTTAGAAAGAGCTGGAGAATGATTTTTGATTATTGTTCTTTTTTGGAAAAAAGGATAACTGGACAGTAAGCATCACAAAATATTTGAAATTGGCCAGTCCCACTAACTTATTTGGATTTTCCCCAAGTACTCTGCCATTTGTAGAAATAGGCTTGGTAAATTTGAACCTCAATTTGAATAACCTGTCCAATATTTTCTTTTCTAACAAATGACAGGTGATTTTACTTGCTAATGTTATCTTGGCATTTTGAGAATTAGGTTCAGCATAGAGGGTATTGTCTCTTGGTATATATAGGTCACATAATAGATTGTACCATCTGTCAGCCGTTCATTTGGTAAGCTTCATGGAGATCTGGAAACATGAAGAGAACAAACAGAAAGTATTTGAAACCTGAAGAACTCCCAGATTTCAAGCTTATCTTGTATTTGTTAACTTTGGGATTAAAAAAACCCTCTGATCATTTTTATTGAAGGAAAGGTTATTATAGATCTTTTATTATAGATTTGTGTCATTCTTATTCCCCAAAGTGCCCGCCATGTTCACGGATTTTACAAGAAGACAGCGAGACTTGTTCTTGGGCCAGTATATAAGATAAACTAGCATGATACACAATAGTGAGGAGAGGGGAAAGGATCTGTAAGAAACCAATCAAGATCAAGGGAAGTGAAATAATCGGTATCTTTTATTTTCTTTTGATTTAATAGCGTAACAGATAACCAACTGTTCTGAAGTGAAATAATCGGTATCTTTTATTTTCTTTTGATTTAATAGCGTAACTGATAACCAACTGTTCCCTGAAAACCTCACATACATATATACACACACATACACATACAAAGAGAGTTAATCAACTGCAAGTGTTTCCTTCATTTCTGATAGAGAATTTTGATCTTAATAACATAAAGAATAAACTTTTAGAAACTCATCTTATAAAATGTATTTTATAAAATTTAAGAAAATAAAATTAAGAATGTTCTCAATCAAACATGGTGTCCTTTGAGTGAATTATTCTGTTTGATCTCACCAACAGTAACTTAATTATAGCTAGCTTAAGGTGCTCATATATTTTTCAGGCCATGTAGTTATTTTTATACTACTTCTATGAAAATATAATAGATACATACATTGTTTTTTATATACCTAAGACACTGAGAAATATATGCAAAACAAAAAACAGTTTACCTAAAGAAACCCAATTAATGCCTGTTTGAACTTGAATGGATTCTTTTGAGACAGGGTTTCACTATGATCCTTGGCTGTCTTGGAACTCTCCATGTAGAACAGGTTAGCTTTGAACTCATAGAGATCCACCTGCCTCTGCCTCCAGAGTACTTGGATTAAGATGTGTGCTGCCATGCTGGGCTGAACTCAGGTCTCTATATTGGTTCATTTTGTGTTTAACGGTTTATTTTCTCTTGGGTTTCAGAGTGTTCTGCTCACACTGAGTCAGTAAGATTTACTTTCCCAGGGTCCTTGTGATGCCCCAGCATCTGTTGTATTTAGTATTACATTCTTTTTATCTTCTCTCAAAATTGTTTAGTTATCCAATGAAGATACTCTGGTGCTTCCCAAGTAAATAATACTTTGTTGTACTTGGGAAGTACTAAATGAAAGGTTTGCAGTTGCATGTTTATAGAGCTGGGAAGATAGAATGAGGACAATATAAATTAAAATGCTGTGGCATTCAGGATTAACATGAATTAATGATATCCACTATCCTGGAGAGCTTAGGCCATGAGCTCACCCAACACAACATTGACAGCACTCTGATGACCAGCCTGAAGAAAGCTAACTTAAAATTAGCTGTAGATTTGTCTCATATTTGTGTCTGACAAGGAACATGAGAAAGGAGCCTTTAGCTGTAGGCAACATGTTAGTCATCAGTTAAGGCATCCTATTCAGAAGTGATTCAGCTTTACTCTCCTGATTTCTGCTTCACCACAATTAATATTCCTCAAGTGAGTCTGCTCGAATGACTTGAAGACAAAGAGAATAAAAAAAATATAAGATTTATTTTTAGACACTGGAAACAAGGACACAGCACCACATTTTGGAGATCTGACTGAGGGTGCTACAGAGTGAATGTATTTTTGCCTCAGAGGAGCAATAGCCAGTTCCCAAGAAAGCTGTGTTTTCCATCTGTCCTTACTTAGTTCTGCCCTCTGGGATGGATCTATAGATGGAGTTTCCAGGCTCTCAGAAGCTGAGAGCATCTCTAATTTATCAATTGAGCTCATTGTTCTTAGCTCTCCCACACACCATAAACCTTCTTTCTCTGAACTGAAAGAGCTCTCTTTGTGTTCAGATCAGCTAAAAATTAAAATACAGCAGTATAAACAAGAAACATTTTCTTACAACACCAGGGTCTGTATTGGCTGCAGTTTTAGTGTGTGTGGAAGCTGGCCCCCACCTTTTTTCAAAAAGAGAAATGCATTCATTCTGTATACATTTCATTGAGAAAACAAGCTTTTCACTAAACCCTGGGAGGTTCATGTTCGGGGGCTTTGTGGTTTGAATGATCATAGAGACATGGTCTTACACTCAAGGATCTCTCACCTTCAGGCATAGCAGAGGGGTC